GTCATTTACTGCTGGAAGATGAGACACATTCGACACGTCATCATAAACATACTGCGAAAGATGTCATGGAGCAGTAATAGGCCATTTCGGGTATACTACAAGCGATCATCGAGTGTCGTCCGCGTTGACAACTGATCAACTCCATGTGGGTTACAAGGACTGTGTGCAGTTTATAAATTTACGACAAAGTAAATGGGAACTAAAAAGGTTAAACATAAACTTTATGATCTTACCCGAGAGCTAAATAGTTGGGCAGCTCGGAATTTAAATATGAAATACATCAAATAATCACAGCTTTGAGAGGAATAGGAAGAGGATCGCTGTTTTTTTTTTTATAGGTGGGCAGTGGGATTTTATTTTTGAATGGAAATTAAAGGAGGATAGCAGACACAACATCATTCGTATCAGGTTTTCGTCGCCTCTAAATTTAAGATGAGGATTGAAAACCAATGAGGGTGTTTGCGGACCTGAGCTTCAGACAGGGGTTTCTTTTATCCCTTGTAAACTTTGTCCTCGAGTGCGGACTGTTTTGCCAAAATCTGTTAAAACTAGCGCTGACAACTGAATGACGTTTCACCTTCAAATTAAACAGAAGGAAAGTGTGCCATTCATCCTTGTGCCTCAAGAGAAGAGTTCTCCTGTATTTAAAAAGGGATTTAAAGTTAACCTAAATAACTATCGTCCTAGATCTCTTTTATCTATTTTCAATAAATTGTTAGAAAAACTTGTATTTAGAAAAGAAGCAACTCATTTACAGCAAGCAATTTGGCTTTCGTTCCCATCATTCAACTGTTCATGCAGTACTAACTATTATTGATAAAGTGCAAATGGCAATTGAAGACCATGAGTATTCCTGTGGAATATTCTTGGACTTCAGTAAGGCTTTTCATACTGTAAACCGTGAGATACTTCTTGCAAAACTTGAATTCTGTGGCATCCGTGATATTGTTAAAGATTGGTTCACTTCATATTTGAGTAATAGGAAACAATTTGTATCTCTTGGTAATATTCAGTCTGGTAGGGTAAATATCTCCTGTGGTGTACCTCATAGGTCGGTACTGGGACCTCTGCTTTTCTTAATTTATATTAGTGATTTCCATAACAGTTCTAGGCAACTACACTTCCATGGATTTGCTGATGATGCTAACTTATTTCTTCAACACAAGAATATTAATTTACTAGAAAGTAATCTTAATAATGAACTCAGTTATACATTCCTGGTTATGTGCAAACAATGAAACTTTCGTCGAATATCAGTAAGTCAAATTTTGTGCTGTTTCACCCAGTTCCGAAAAAAAAAAAAAAGAAATACCCAAGTCAGTTACATTATTTATCAATAATCAATCTCTAACAGAGGAAAACTCCATCACATACCTAGGAAATTAAATTGACTGAAATCTCAACTGGAAAAGCCATATTAATTATATTGTAAAAAGATTAAACATAGTATAGGCACTCTATCAAAACTTCGTTATTATCTTAACAGCAAAACCTTATTGGACCTATACTATGCTCTTGTATATCCATTTTTGACATACTGTATAATTCAGCTAGTATAATAACTTGGGGCAATACTTATCAAACTTCTTCGCAGCCTCTTTTTGTATTGCAAAAGAAAGCCATTAAAATCATAACTTTCTCTGGCTTCTTAGAGCATACAAGCCCACTTTTCAAAGATTTAAATGTTATCAAATTATTTGATGAAGTAACGGTTCACATTGCGGTTTTTATGTACAAATTTAAAAACCAACTTTATCCAATTAATTTTTATGGTTTTAATCACTTCAGTCTAAGAAACCCATAATTAAAATACAAGGCTTTCCTCTACAATGACTTATGCTCTGCCAAGGACAAGAACAAACTATGGTATTTCTAATATTAGATATCAAGGCGCTAAGGTTTGGAATGCAATCAGTGATGACATTAAGCTTCTATCACTTAAGCAATTCAAGAAGAAGTTAAAATCAAGTATTCTTGCAAGTTATTAACTGACTTAATTATACTATACATTTTCTTTCTTCCGCTAGTTAATCTGCCTATACATACTGTATTTTCCTGCTTATTTTCGCAAACTTGTATTTTTCGTTAATTTGTATATTTAGCTTGTAACTAGTTTTTGTCTGTGTGTTTCTGTGTTGTTGTATGTTACTTTAAGAAGTCTTAAGTACCTGACACCGTTAGTCATTACAGTATTTAAAATCCTAAATTCTATTTGCCTGGTTTATTTTTTTTTGTTTTATTACTGTTTTTGTAATGTAAATTTAATTTTATTTAGGGTGCAAATAAAGTTCTTGTTTGTTTTTGTTGTACGTTGTTGTTGTTGTACGTTGTTGTTGTTGTTGTTGCTGTTGTTGTTGTCCCCAAGTTAGGGGGCAGTTTTATGTGTGTATGCACGCCGGAGTCAGGGGGGCAGTTTTATGTGTGTATGTACGCCGAAGTGAGGGGGGGGGCAGTTTTATGTGTGTATGTACGCTGGCTTTTCTTCCCTCTGCGTTTAGTTTTTTATCCAAAATAAACGGGGGGGGGCCCCCTTCGGGGCTCCCTCCCTTAGATCCGCCCCTGGTTACGTGGTGATTTGAAAATTCATTTCAAAATGAATTCTCGTTCAGGCTCGATAATTCTGCAACAAAGTCTGAGATAATGGGCGCCTTATTTAGTTGGAGACATCTTCTTTTAAGTTTTCCTTAGCCAATCATCTGACACAAAACTTTCAGGCGCATCTTTCTTGTGACATCTATCATTAGTGTTTTGCGATTTGAATATTAAATGAAACTTGACGACGATGATTTTTTTTTCAGAAGATCGAGCTCAAACCATCTGAATTTTTCGCCCATGTTCTGTCTTTGTCATTGTTTATCAATGGAAGCTCACCCAATGAAATTAGGATGAGCAAAAATTCGGGTTTCTACAGCATTAAAAGAATAAGCATGCTGTCCGCGGTCAAATTATCATTCAAACTTTTTCGATTAACTTGTGCCACAAACACATTCCAAGGGCCCCATCTTTTCCTCCCAAGAGACCCTGGGAATAAAGCTGAATATGCCAGCCCGTGACGTGCTTGGTGTTTGCTTTTGTTTGAAATTTTATTTGTTTTTAGCTTGGTAATTGTCTTTATTACTATGCATGCCAA